TAGTTTTGGGGTTTTTTTTTTTTTTTTTTTTTTAATACATTAATACTATTAGTGGTGATGTTTTTAGTGGAATGAATCATTGTTGCACTTCAAAAGAGTAGAATTTCCCCAAAACATTTGAGGGGTGAAGGGGACCCTAATTTCAAAGGAGTCCGGATTCTCTGCAATGTTTTTCCTGCAGTGGGTCCTGTAGTGCTACTTAAACCACGTCGTTTTGCTTTTCTTTTTTTTTTTTCTTTCCTCCTTCTTCTTATGTTTTCTCTTCCTTGAGCATTTTTTAACTGAGCCCAAAAACCAGAAACGAAAAGGAGAAGACGAGGAACAAAGGACCCAAAATGATGGGAAGATGGACGAATCTGTAGGCTTACAACCAATGTTAAATAAACCTCAAAACAGCCCAATGTTTTTGCCTTTTTATTTCTATTTCTGCATAATTAGATTCATCATGCATTTTGTTCAATAAACCTCAAAACAGTCTACACATTAGGCACACAACCAATGTTAATCAGATGCATAATTAACTGGCCTTCAATAGTCCTGATCTGTCTGAATAGTTTCAACATTTATTTGACTATCTTCCAAACAACTAGAAACAACATACAAGCAAACCCACCTGATAGTTTCAAATTTGCCTCTAAATTGTCAATGAAATGACCAAAAAAAAAAACCCTTGTGCTTGTACCCTATCTCCCCAAACCATAAACTTCTATCTATGGTTGCCTGCAAATAGGAAATGGCTGAGAAGACAATACCCAGGTAATTGACTCTCTCTCTCTCTCTCCTCTTTTATGGGTCTATCTCCACTTTTCTGTAATTGACTCTCTCTACTTTTTTCTGTATAAACACCTCTCTCTCTCTCTTGGTGGAGTCTCCTTGCTTGTGGCTGGGATAATGGTTAAAAGTTAATTCTGCATCTGATGAACATTTTGGGTCTTTCTCACCGGTCATCTTCCCAGTTTCCGGTCGCCGGCCGTCCATTCGTCGAGCCTACAGATTTGTCCATCCATCTTCCCGCCGTTTTGATTCCTCCATTCCTCCTCTCTTTTTCTTTTCTGGTTTTAGGACTCAGTTCAAAATGTAGGAAGAGAAAATAGAGGAAGGAAAAAAGAAAAAAAAGGAACAAAACGACATAGTTTAATTAGCACTACAGGATCCACTGCAGGAAAACATTGCAGAGGATCCGAACTCTTACCAAAACAACCTTGTTTTGGTGAGTTTAATCTCAGCCGTTGGATGAATCACTTTAGGTGATCTCTTCAAAATTTTCATTCTAGTGGATCCTAACGCCATCATCCCCACCCTGGGTACTGGATAATTTCCATGTAGAGGTGTTGTATTTGTGACACGGAGGTGAGTCACCAAAGAAGATCCACTTCATTTCATGAGAGGACCACCAAAAAAAAGAAAATTATCAGGAAAAATACTTTTTATTTACACCTTATTACAAATATATTTATATCTTATATCTTCATGTATTGATGATTTTTACACCTCTTTATGTGCTTAGAGCATATCCAATTTATTAGGCATATAATATTTGTTAATTAAAATACTTAGTATAATTTATTTTTTTTAATTTTAATGCACTAAGTATATGAATAGGTATTTTATCTCACATTTATTAGTTATATGTAGCTATCCTTTAAGATTAGACAAAATACATTTAATTATTAAGATTATTTTCTTCTATCTTTATTACTGATGTGGTATTCTATAAAGTTAATAGTATTTAAATATATAGCTAAAATAAAGAGTATGATTGAAATAAAAATATAAAATAATTGATAAATAAAATAAAATATATTTTATAATAATATTTATATAGATAAAATACCTATTAGCATTGGAGATGCTCCCTTTCATGCAAAGTTTGACCAATCAAACTTGGTAGGTGGTGACAATTTGCCAGACAATAAAGAATATTTAATGCTCGTGTTATATGTAACCATTTGGGATTACTTTTCAAATAGTCTTACCAAATCAGATGTGTTTTTTTTGAGTTGTTGTATGATAGTGATTAAGTTTGTATGACGGAAGATTATATATAGAATAAATTTAAATTATAAAATGATAATTTTTAATAATTTCTAAATAATTAAGTCTGCGCTTATAATATTGTTAATTTTTTTAAAAAGAAATTACAAAAAAAAAAAAAAAATAGAATTTGAGTCTTGTCTTTCATTCATTACAAACCAAATACCTGGAATTCATAGATTTTCTTTTTGACATTCATATTGTACCACACAACCATCGGGCTTAATAGAAAAGAGTTAAATCAATTTTTGAAAATTGAAAACACTACAAAGGGTTCGTCATCAAATATTTCATGCTCTCAGAACCCAAATAACCCATAAAAATCTAATTGTAAATAATATATTCAATAGAAATTAAAACCCATATCATAGGTTAGATGTAGAGAGAAAAACCCATTTTGCTTGCAACTCATTCAAATATTTCATACTCTCCGATTTCCATAAACTTTCTCAGAATCCAAATAACCCATAAAAATCTAATTGTAAACTTTATATTCAATAAAAATCAAAACCCATTTCATAGGTTAGATGTAGAGAGAGAAATCCATTTTATTTTGTAACTCATTTCAATATTTACAGAAATAGAAACCCAATTCAATGAAATCAAAACCCATTTCATAGGTTAGAGTTAGATGTAGAGAGAGAGAAACTCATTTTTTTTTTGCTACAGAGAGAAACCCATTTGAAGAATGCAAGGGCAGAGGAGAATAGAAGTGTCACCTGTGAGGAGTTGTTGTCGGTTGCAGAACCGAAGTAAAATGCAGATAAAGAGACAGATGGAGGGTTCTGTGTGACAGAGTATGAGAAAGAGAGTTTAAAATCAAGAAGAAGGAGAGAGAGAGAGAGAGAGAGAGAGAGAGTTTGGGCGGGAACCAAACACTTGGGAGGATTGATTTGAACCATTGATAGACAAACAATTGTATCTCTAAAACAATTATAGGACATTTTTAAAATCCTTATTATATAGATTTTGTGACTACTTTTTTATTTTTTTAAAAAATTTAATAATTTTAATTATTGTTGGTTGCAAGTTCTTTACTTTAGTGCATTATGCTAATTGCTGAAGTTGTCCACTTACTTGGTACTTTGGGAGATACATCTGATCAATGCTTATGGATTGGCAGCTACTTTGCGAACAATATTGTTATAATGTAAAATTGCACAAGGTTCAATTGAATTTGTTTTTTTGGTTTTTTTTGGTGACAGCATCTTCGTGCATCATGATGGAGGGAAAGTGACTGCTGTGTCTTATGTTCCTTATTTTCTGTTTCTTATTATTCATCTTTTTTGTTATTTGATTTGCAGCAGTAGACACCTTTAATGTAAATGGAGTTTTTAGACCATACGGAATGCTTTGAGTATTTTCTGCTATATGGGAGTGATGTTTTGATTCATCTTTTCTGATATTTTCTGCTATACGACAATTTTCAAACAATACAAAACATGACATGTAAAAAATACACACAAAATATATAAAATATATAATTTTATATATTTATTATATATCATATATATATATATATATATATGAATATATTATTCTAAGATAATAAATAAATACAATATAATACTAATTTTTATAAATTGACATTATTTATTTTTTTATCATTGTATTCTAAGTGTTCATTTATTTATTTATAGGTATTGTAGTGTCTAGATTAAAATCCGACTAATTCCCAAGGGTGCATAGGCCGTTGGCAAGGATTTTCTTGTAAGTGTACCACAATTAATTCTAGAGTTTTTTTCCAGTCCGAATTCTAAGTTATTTTGTTTTGTTTTGTCCATGTCTAATCAATGGACACGTGTGCCTTCGAACGCCTCCAAGTATAAATTCTATTTAAAAAAATAAGACATATTTGAATGAATGTTGGACATGTATTGCGAAGGTGTTCGACAAATGTCGGTGTCCAATACAAACATGACACAGACACGCTACCTTTTTAAAAGTATCCATATTTTTTGGCCTTCTCTGTCTACTACTATGAAACTATGAATTTTCCCGAAAGGTATGCCTAATCATATTACTAAGCCTTCGATGAAACCATCTTTGAGTTAAAAACTATTGTGGAATTTTATAAAGATAGCACAATAACTATGCAGCTTAGAAATAACCTCACTTTGTGGACTTCTGCATGAACCCGTGGAGCATGTAATGATCAAGATTAAGAGCATGATGTGGGCTTGATTTGTGTGAGGTTTGGACTTCTTGTTACAAATGGTGATCAGTTGAACCTGTTTTGTTCTTCATAAAGTTTTTTTTTTTGGGTTGTTGTTGTAGTTGTTTCAAAGGTTGAGCTGCTCAAGTGATTATATGCACGTTCACAGTTTCTTTGCTTAGCTGTTGTTGAATTGTGATTACTTAAATTTGCTTTATATTGCATTGTAGTGTTCGTTCACGAGCCACACTTCAATCCATACTTCAAAAAACTTTCTTTCTTTCTTTTTTTCCTGAACCCAAATCAATTAAAATGGTTGATTGGTTTGAATTATACAATGTCAATTCTACCATAAATGTGTCTTCTTAAGTTTTTTCATGATAATTTATTTCTTATTTCCTTTGTATCTATTGAAGGAGTCATTTGATTCTACAATTTTACTTAAATTAGCCTTATAACTTGTGGATTTATATTCGTGTCTTTCTGGCTATGTAGCATATTGTTATTTATAAAACAAACACCATACACAAGAATAGTGAGTGATTGATTAGTAGTAGGGAGAAAAGTATGCCTTCTTTCAATCTTGATTTGGAAAACAAAGTGCAAAACAAAAAGATCAAAGTCATCTTTCAAACCACAAGAGAGCCAGAGGAAACTAACAGCCTCAGAAAAATAACTGCCATACCAAAAATAAAACAACCCCAATATATCTGCAAAACCATATAAGAGAGAGCACTTCTTTCATAGTTTGATTGACCTGAAAACAATGGCAAATTCATTTAAGACCGTTACCTTTTTTGTCAGTGCTTTTTGCGTTTTCTCCCTCATTGGCGCTGCTCGATACCGGCCGCCTCACTTCTTCGTGGAGGGCCAAGTTTACTGCGACACATGCCGTACCCAATTTGTTACCAAAGTCAGCCAGTTAATGACAGGTACATACATATCCCTATCTAAGTTTCATGTTACATGGGATTGATCATTGTTAAAATCGATGTTACATGGATTAGGGTATGAATATCAAGGGTGGGTGCGTTTCCAAGCATCATATCTTCATACATTTAAAGGGTACGGGGACACTACACACATATGTATTGCATATTGTATTATATGTTTAGATAAGATGTTTTAAATTATGGAGAAATGTGTTTAGAATTAGATAGAATTTATGTAAATATGGAATTTCTATCTTTCATCCATGTAACATGCTAAAAATGTTTATTTACTAGAAATGTGAGGTTTCTTCCTCTTCAAACATCATAAAAATTAAAGGGTTCATGTGTCTAAATTGAGTATAGGTATCAGATACATATCCCACACATTTTTGTTGTTATATAACATTTTCTAATATTATTTTTTCCTAGAAACATATACGCATACCCTCTAGCGGGTGTTAAATATCAGCTGTTGTTACATAAAACCGTATTAATACTGATACATATCTTGGTACTCTTATAGGTGCTAAGGTGCGGTTGGAGTGCACACAACGGGATGGTGGGAAACTAACCTTCAGTGCCGAGGCTGAAACCGACAGCTCTGGCACCTACCAGCTGCCGGTGGAAGGAGACCATGAGGATGACGAGTGCGAGGTTGTGCTTGTGAAAAGCAGTAAACCAGAATGCGAAGAGATCGACAAGGATGGATGGGGAAGAACTTCAGCCAAAATTAGCCTCACAGCCAACAATGGCATGTCCACCTCGGTGAGAAAGGCCAACCCTCTCGGTTTCTTGAAGAAGGAGGCCCTCCCGGAGTGCCCTCAAGTCTTAAAGGAATTGACTATCCAACCTGAAGGTGTCTGAAGAAGAAGAAGAGAGAGTCCCTTTTTGTACGTTCTTATATGAACAAATTTTTGGTCCTTGACAATGTATATATAGTGTTCTGCTAAAAATAAAAAAAAAGAGAAGACAATGTATATAGTGTTATAAACCAAAAAAAATGTAAAATAAAGAAAGACAGACAGTGTTTACTAGGTTCAAACAACCCTCTATTGGCCTTTAGGCTTGTGTTATGTAATTATGGGTGCAAAATATTGAATTTTATACATAAAATTTGTATAGAATGATATGATAATTTTTGCAGTTAGAACTTGTAGTGATGGGCATTTTAACTTTTAATGAATATATGTAAATGTGGGGACATAATTTTTTGAATGACAACACGTGGCCGAGGTGACACCAAAGTGTCAGCCGAGGTGTCACGTGTCTTGGTCATGACACCGAGATGATCTCGACTAGGCCGAGGTTATCTGCGAAGATACCGGAATTCGGGATAAGCGGATAAGGGACAAGAGTTCTAGAATGAGAGAGGACTTCAGTTTGGGTAAAGATAAGACTCTTAGAGAGTTTATCCCAATCCTACTGGGCCCCGTTTGTTTTAGGGTATGAGAGGGGGATTGAGATTAGGATAGCTGTGGGCTCCATTTAATGTGTTGTTTGTTTACAGAGTTGAGCAAGGGACTACTAAGCCGAAGGGCTTAGGATAGGCCTTGCAGATGGGATTCGAATGGGCCTCAAGGACTTGATATTAGAAAAATAGTCCGACGGACTAGATATTTTTTGTTTTTATTTATTTTTTATTTTATTTTTTACATGTTAGGCATTTTTTTTTGAACATTAATGTTTAATTTTTTGTTAAGTAAAAATCATTATTTTCTTTATTTTATTTTTTTCTGAAATTTTTTTATTTTATTTTTATTTTTTTTAAATTTTTTACATGTTGGGCATTTTTTTTAAAACATTAATGTTTAATGTTTTTGTATTTTTTGTATTTTTTTTATTATTTTATATAAAAATAATTTAACAATCCCAACACTAACAACTATCATCAAAACAAACACAATTTTACTTAATCCCCTCACTATCAATCCCCTCCATTTTACCTCTCAAAACAAACGGGACCTGGGAGTCCAAGATTAGCAGTAATCCTAAGTCCATTAAAGTTAGGCTTCTATTGGGACTAGATTTGTGTTGGCTATAAAAGAGAGGCGCCCTCATGGATCTAATGTATACTTTTTATATTCTGAATAATGAGTTAAGCTCTTTTGCTATCTTTGAGAGATAATTGATTTGATCGTCGGAGTGTCCCCGGGTGGACGAACCACCGTCAGAATCTCTTCTTTTTGTGACAGGTCGTTCGGGCTTAATCTATTCTGCCAGTGTTCTCCAGCTGAATGCTTGATTGACAGTATGGTCGAAAATTAACACACACAGTAAATGAGATACATCTCTTGGTATGAATTTTTAGTACTTTTTTGTATAGAGAAATATTATATGTCATTGATTTTTTTATTACTGTTTTATGTTACTATCTCTTGCTTTCACATAGATATTCATAATTAATTATCTTGTTTTCAGATAATTATTAGCAATTAACGAAAGTAAATATTATTTTATTATATAATTTGATGTTAAAAAAGTATTAAAAAAAGAGTAAATTGGTAATAAATTCAATCTAAAGAGTGTATAAAGTATTAGATCTAATGAATATTTTTTATTCGTGAGAGGTCCACCTTTTGTGAAATAATTTGGTGAGAAATCCTTTTATTGTTTTTGGAGGATATTTTATTTTTAGTTTTATCCCTTAATTTATCTGTTAACTTTTTTTTATTTGTTGACTTATCGTTGACTATATGTTCAAATTTATATCAATCTGTTCAAATTATTTTCCATATGTTCATTTTTTTTGTCCATTTGTTCAAATTATTTCTTATCTGTTCAATTTTTTTGACTATCAGTTCAAATTTTTCGACTATATGTTCAATTTTTTTATCCCCTTATCTGTTCAAATATATGTGAAAATTTTATTGTTTGTTCAATTTGCTTTTTAAAATTTTTTTCCTATATGTTGATATACTAAGCAAATCAAATCCTATATATTGAAATTTTAACTATGCAATTTTCTATTTGTTCAAATTTCTCCACCGATTTTTTATTCAGTTTTTCTATCTGTTCAAATCTTTCTAATTTTTCTTTCTTTCTCCATGCAATCAAATCTGTTTTTTTATCTGTTAATTTGCAATATGTTTCTCAACAACAACAACAACAACAACAAAACTCCCACGTTAAGATCATCTACCATCCCGTAATATAATTTAACAATAAGGACAAAGGTTCTGGTTTTATACAAAGACATGTAAAATAAAGAGGCCAATCTATAATGTGCCGTTTTGGCAACATTAGTAAAAAGCAGCGTTTTGACGCAATGGGAAAAACGCAAAAGTTTGAAAAAACGCAACATACACTATTTGGGAAGATCTAAAAATGCAAGTCTGTCAATTTACCGAACTATCCTCCGTCTTATGTAATGGGGGCCTAGGGCAAAACACATTCATCTCCTCCCCTCTACTGTTGATTTCTTTCTCCTCATTCAAGTTGCGCTTCCAACTCCTTCGAAAAACCCAGGACGTTGGCGTCCTCCGCTGACGCTGCCTCCGGAATCGTCGTCCACATCCTTGCCGTTGCCGGATCTACACCATCAGGTAAGCTGAAAACCCTCTTCCGTTATTGTCTTCTCGTAAATATTGACAGACCAATTTCCATGGAATATTTGCTCAAAAATTAAGGGATCAGTTGATGTATAACTTATATATGCTGTAGTGTTGCTCCATATTCATTTCCACTTGTGATTTCGACTTGTGTGATGTTTGTATTTTCGATCTTTGGCCGTTGGTGTTCGGTGAAAACAGACACGTCTATGTACTCATCCCTTTCGATCGATCACTGTACAAGTAAAACGGAAGAACAATGTGTTGCACCAAGGATTAAGGCTTTGGTGCAATAGAATATTGTTGTGTTAATTTCTCTTTTTAAATTGACAAAAATGCTAAACAATATATATATATATATATATATATTAATGTTTAGAACAGAAAATGAGAAGATGAATTTAAAAAAGCCTTACAGTTGGAATAGACATTTATAAAACTCCAAGGTTTTCTTTTATTGGAAGCGAATATGGGTTTTTATGTTTTAAATGGTCTTCAAACTCCCTATTTTTCTTCTCTTCATCTGTTTCATGGTTTTCGTTAAAGTGGCTGTATAACTTTGGAACGTGTTGTTCTTTTTCGCCATATTAACTTCTTCAATCAGGGCATTACCAATATTTGATTAATGGATATTGATATGTTAATGGTCAAATTTTAGTCTCGAATAATTCCTTCAATAAGAAAATCATAGCAACGATATGATTGCCTTTAAATTTTGATTTGTTTTTGTATAGCCATGTGGGGCTTGTGGGGAACATGGTGAATGTTGTGTTACTTTCGCTGTTTTCTCCATGACAACAATTTGTTGCACAGTGGATTGAGGCTTCGGTGCAAGACATGGTCTTGTTATAATTTATGCTCTAAATTGACAAAATGCAAAATGGTCATATAATTTTGAATTGATTGGTCAACTGATTTATATGTTTGTAGCCATTTTTTTTTTTTTGGGTTACTAGCACATATGTGCGCGTACCGATTTTGCAAACTGGTTTCATGTTGTGCTGTTTTTTTTTTTTTAAAAATTACAATCGTTTATAATTAGGTACTTTTTATGTATTTGAATAGACCAAAATAATGTCTACAGCAAAAAATAGTGCCAAGATATATATTTTCCTCTTCATCCTTATTATTTTTCCACTTACGAAGCTACTGTTACATTTTCCATCTTTCTTAATGTATAGATCTTTTGGTTCTAGCAAATGAATGTGTTTATACTATTGCCAATTGTTTTGTACATTATAATTTTACAAGGTTGTAGACGTCCCCGAACGCCCCGGGGGGAACGAGTCCACCCCGTTTTGTTCGATATTGGGCTCACTACAGCTCAGGACTCTCAAATTGTCACGGTTCGTAATCTAAACCAAAGAGTCCAAATCCGGCAAATTGTTTTGAGACAACAGATTTTGAAAGAAGTGCCAAACATGGACTGCTTTGCCAGATACAGAGTCGCCACCTAAATATTTTATTTTGGGGAAATTTAGGAAACCCTGACTCGTTTGCCTAAGGCCACGTGTCCGTCATCACCAAAGTAAGTGGTTGGTTCTTGGTCATTGAGGGAAGTGATAATAGTGTCTACTTCTGAGCATTTCGCAGCTGTGCTACCATCAGTAGTAGCATTGGAACTGCGAGCAAAATTTCTCTTTGAAGGCTCATTATCTTCTGCAAAGATCCCTTGTCTGATGGCATCATCGATTTGAACCCCCATTTCATGAAGGGCTGGAAAGGTAAACAGAGGTAGAACGATCATCCTCTGCAATAACTTGCCATGCAGATTCCGAACAATCATCCTGATCTGATCTTTTTTAGAAGAGGTCTTTGCTCTCTATCTTGTCACGAACTCTGAGAAACCCTCCTTTGGCCTTGGCGGGTGACTTCAAGATCACGAGTTGCGACCTCGATCTGTGTTGTAGTAGTATTGAGCAATAAAGGCCTTAGCTAGCTCTTCCTAGTTTTGTTTCACAGGTGTGGGGATGTCTCAAAAGCCATTCCCTGCCCTCCAAAGCAAAAACACAAGTGTTCGGTGCAAAACCAAACACAAAACAGTCGAGTTA